GAAGGACGCCCTGGGGCTGTGGGGCAGGGGAAGGACGCCCCGGGGCTGTGGGGCAGGCGAAGGCCCTGCAGGGAGCAGGCCCTGCTGGCGGGCACCGCCAGGGTCCCCCCCGCCCTAGCTCCCCACAGCACGCACAGAGGGGATGGGACAGTTTTATTTATCTCACAGCTTTACAGGAGGCGGTTTCCCTTTGGCCCTGCCGGGGACAGGGACACCACGCTGCCGGGGAGCCGGGGGGGGCAGGGGTGAGCTGAACCCTCGCCATGCCAGCCCCTCGCCAGGGCGGGTGGATCGCCCCTGCCACAGGCTCTCGGAAGAAATCCCTGTTTCTTTGTTGGGGAACAAACTGCCTGTCAGTAAGCCCAACCCCAAAAGCAACTCCAGATGCCATCAGGGTGCTGAAAATCAGACACATTCATTTGCAGGATATTTTGCAAATCTACAGTAGTAAAACAAGCACAAATACTACCCACACGGAGCAAAGACAAGGAGGGGAGTCTCCCCTTCCCCTGGAGCCCACCTACGTGACACCAGTACAGCCCAGTCCCCTGCACGGGCTTTGGGCAGTGGTTTTGCTGAAGCATCTGGGGGTGAGCATCTGCCCGGTGAGTTATCTGCCACGTGAACTCGGGTTGGAAGAGAAACTGGGACATGGAAGTGCCGTGTCTGCTTTTATCTCTCCTCCTCCCCTGGGAATCACAGTGATTCCCCTTTTGCTTCATGAGTCCCTCTCAGGTACCCCCCTACGGAGCCTTTTGGCCACGGGCAATGGGCGCTCTCAGCCTTCATCCGCCGAGACGCGGCCTGCAACCCCTAAGAGCTCTCCTCGGGGGGCTTCTTGGTGCCTTGGAGGATCAGTGCCGAGGCAGACGCCCTCTTCTGATGCCGCCACTTGGCCCGACGGTTTTTAAACCAAACCTAGAAAGTGCAAAATGAGAAAAGAACTTCTGAATTTCACATGTTACTTGCAGGGGGGAGCAGGCAGTTTCACTCCTGGGCTGCACGGTGTAAGCTTTAGGATACTGCGTTATGTTTCCCAGTATAAAAGTTTGATACAAAATGTAATCATTCTCTCCCTTACATGTAAGGGGCACGAGGGAGCTGGGACCCCCTCACAGCAAATTCAGAGGTCAGGCAGACCACGTAAGTAAGGAATCTACACGTGGGTCAGGGGATGAGCAGAATGGGGCACGTCTGTGTGTTTATAGAGGTGATTCTGGGAGAGGGGGAGTGTGTGAGTTTATGATCCCAGAACAAATCAGCCCAGCAGAACTCTATAATCTCCCATTACTTGCCAAAACTAAACTGTGTGTTATCGAATGCCCAAGAATTGTTTTTAAAATGAGGCCCTGGGTCTGCAGCTCCCGAAACAGGCAGCTGAGAGAACCCTGTGTTGTTTCGGGGTTGCAGTGAACAACAGCTCAGGAAGGGGCAGGGTCTCACCTCCACCCTCTCCTCCTTCAGGTGGATGCGGTTCGCCAGGTGCTCGCGGGTGATGACGTCCGGGTACTGGTTCTGGTGGAAAAGAGTCTCCAGGGCCTGCAGCTGGTCCTCGGTGAATATGGTGCGATGCCGGCGCGTCCGGCGCTGGATCTGGTGGAAAGCCTGCAGCTGGCCGGGGTTCCCCGGGGGACTCTTGCAGACCCTGACGGCCGAGTGGAAGAGGCGCACGGGCCAGGGGAGCCGGGCGTCTGCGGGGGGAGAGGGACAGCGTTAGGGGTGGGGGCTGAAACACCCGTCTCAGGGCAGTTCCAGTCCTCACACGGGGGTCTTCTGAACTTTTAGGATGCTCCTGAGATGCATTTTTACATGTTTGTTACTTTTTTTTAACTTTTTTTCTTTTTTCCTAGGTATAGCCAAAACCTCTTCACCTTAAAGGACGAGCAATGCTCCCCAGGGCTGGTGTTCTCAGGAACCCCTGACACAGCTCTGCTCGTGGGCAGCGTGACCCTGGGGCCCCACACTCCACAGACAACTTCCACCCCCTGGAAACATCATCCTCTCAAGTGTTTTACAATAAAACAGTAATACAGAGTAATAAATAGCCCCTGCTGCTTTTAAGAACCTGTTAACATTGTGGGGAGAAGTGCCTGCTCTTGGTAGCCCTGCTCGGCTCGCCAGAGCTGAGGTCTGAGCAGCCCACCCTGGTGACAGGCCAGAATGTCACCCAACTCCCAGGTTTTCCCCTTCACCCAGCACTGCCTCCACGAGCCCCCCACCCTGAACCAAACCCAAGCACTCACCCAGCCAACTCGGCGAGTCCTGCAGGGAACGGGTGCTCCGGTGGGAACAGCAGCAGCAGTTGCAACCTGCCCCTTCCAGCTCTTCCTCTTCTTCCTCCTCCTCCTCCTCCTGCAGGGAGCTGCCGGGGATGGTCTCCAGCTCACACAGCCCCTTGGGAGCGCAGTCCAAGATGCCCCGCAGGCACAGCGGGACCAGGACCTGGGAGCTCTTCTCTGCTGGGCTGGAGAGGATGTCCTCGATGCTGAAGGAACATGGCTTCTTGAGGCCTCTCCTGCCGGTGTCGGCGTCCGGTGTGGGCTCCAAAGACATCGTCTGCTGGCAGCGTCGGCTGCAGGGATGGGCAGCTCAGGCTGAGCAGGGTTTGCTCTCCGGGTGCTTGCCCTGGAGTGGGGTCTGGCAGGGCAGAAGGCGGCTTATGTAGCTCTTAAAATGGACCAGCAAAGGCACCCTGGTTCGCCCCTTTGTCTTGGCATTTCAAGCGACTCTCATTCTCGCAGCCGAGTTTTTATTTTATACCCACACACAGAGTTTTTCTCCTTCCAACCTGGCTGCTTTATGGCTGGAGCCACCCGGCTGCCCCAGGCGCGGGGGCGGCCGCAGCCGGGCCCTGCCGGTGCGAGGCCTTTGGCACCCCCAGGCCGCGCGTTGGGTGTCTCACCCCCAGCGCCCCCGGGACCGCCCGCAGGGCTCCTCGGAGACACCCCGGGGGGCAGGACCGGGTGCCGGAGGGCGGCAGAAGGCCTTCCCGGGGCTGTGGGGCAGGAGAAGGACGCCCTGGGGCTGTGGGGCAGGGGAAGGACGCCCCGGGGCTGTGGGGCAGGCGAAGGCCCTGCAGGGAGCAGGCCCTGCTGGCGGGCACCGCCAGGGTCCCCCCCGCCCCAGCTCCCCACAGCACGCACAGAGGGGATGGGACAGTTTTATTTATCTCACAGCTTTACAGGAGGCGGTTTCCCTTTGGCCCTGCCGGGGACAGGGACACCACGCTGCCGGGGAGCCGGGGGGGGCAGGGGTGAGCTGAACCCTCGCCATGGAGCCACCCTAAATATATATATATATAGAGAGAGAGATATAATCCCTTTGGAAAGAAAACCGTAAACCCCCTTGTGAATAAAATAAATTCTAACTAATCTTGGCAGCTTTGTGAAGGGTTAGTGTGGATCTAAGATTTAGCTAATCCCACAAAAATGACTGGAGAAGGAAATCTGATTTCTCCATCTCGGGTGTAGATTTGAGGTGGTTATGATCTCCATTGTGCTGCAGCCTCCGATCCAAGGAAGGGGGAGGATAGCTGTTCCCAGCCCGGAAATGGACCAGAGGATTAACTCCTTAAAAGAAGCAAATTATCCCTTTCTCTGGCCAAATGAAAGCTTTCCCATCAAAAGAGAGCTGTCATATCATACAATATGAGAGAGGAGAGAGTTCAGCTTAATAAAAAATCATTTTTAATGATAGCACAGCCTTTGGCTGCGCCAGAACTCTCTGTGAAAGTTGATTTATTTTCTGCTGAAAGCAGAGAAATTGTATTTTCCCTCCTTCCCCTGTCCCCCACCTCCGCTGCCCTAATCACAGTGACAATACAGGCGCTTTGCATGTATCCAACACGTTCTGTGTAAGCATTCAAAGCCCTTAATAAATTAGATTATGGGCAGCTCCGTGGCACAGCTCAGCGGCACGTACCCCAGCTCGGTGTGGGGAAGGGGAGGAGAGGGGCTGCTGCCTCCGTGGGCGGGCAGGTGGGCACAGAGGTCTTGGTGCCACCACAAATGGGTGGTTTGGTGAGCCCAGAGCAGCCAGGATGGTGTCTGGGGCAGCCGGGCTCCCCCAAAGCCTCGTCACTCCAATTCCCAACTCCTCCTGGCCAGCAAGAGAAACTGGGGGGAGGCTACAGCCGAGAGCAGTGGCTCGGGATGGGAGGGGATGCCTGGCACTGACCCTCCTGAGGGTCAAACAGCAAGGCCTGGGGAGATGGGATGCACAGGAGGAGAGAGGACATCTTCCATCTTGGGTTTAAAGCTGAAACGAGTAGCTGGGGTTCAGACAGAGAACCCAGGGTTGAGCTCGGGTCACTTAGGAAAGTTTAAACCCAGGTTCTATTGCCCTCAGTGCAGGTTAAGCCAAGGTGAGTAGAAAGGCTTTAGGAGCTTACCTGGAGAACCCTCTCCCGCTTGGTGTTTCTTCGCAAGCAGGAGAAGATACTGGTCCCACTCATGGCACAGCAAGGAGACACAGAGGTGAAACCACTGCTCATCAAAGGTCCTCGTGGCATCTCGTGACTTCACACTGAACAGCCCAGTGACCCCTCCAGCATCACACGAAAATGAGACCCAGTCTCCAGGAGAGCCCCCTCGCAGCCCCTTGTTCTCCATGGCCCTGCACTCTGCCTGCCCTTCCTCATGCTGCTGGTGTCCTGGCACGGGGAAGAGATGCCCCATAACCGTTCTACCTCTGACCCTCAAACCTCTGTAAAGTCCCACTGAAACCAAACCACTGTTTTTTCTCCCGTCCCTGTATTTCCCCCTCCCGCAGCCATTCCAATGGCATCACCTAAATAACAACCACACTCTGTGCATCTTCACGTATTTGCTGTGGGTTTGAGAGGACAGCACCTTCATGGCTGCCCATCTGGACACATTCACTGCTGCCCAGCCAAGGTGTCAGGGCTGCGGAGAGGGACCAGGGACACCCCAACGCCAGGGACCAGCACAAACTGCTCCCAGCTTTGACACACATACCCAAGTGCTGGCTCAGGAGAAGGATGTGGGGCCGGGCTCTGCTCCCCACAGAGGGGCTGTGGGGCAGGAGAGCAGGGACACACCAGGGGAAGGTGCAGGGTCTGACCCTTTTTGCTCTTGGCTGCAATAATCATAGGCCTGAAGCAGATTAATTCTCATTCCCCGTCCTCCACAAAGGACACCTTTCCCTGCCCTCCCCTGCCCGTCCCTGCCTTCCCACCCCACGTGCACTTAGCCTATTAGGATCTCCGCTGATTGCTTTCTTTCATTCCTCCCATACCTTTCACTTCAGAAAATGGACTGGTAATACTTCTTTTATCAAAGAATTATGGGATTTGGGACCCAGATCTTACAAAGAGACTTTTGATAGCTGCTGGTAATCAAATCCCAATCGGCGGACACTTCTCTGCGCCCTGTTACCGGAGAGGAATAAAGGAAAGGGATTATTGATGTTCTGTTTACTGAGCCTCCGGGAGATAGGATCGCTGGGCTATTTCATATTAGAAAAGGAAAGGAAAATAAAACAAGAAAGAAAAAAAATGCAGACAAGAGAGGACAATATAGATATAGATAAAAAGAAAAGAAACAGGCTCTTATCATTTTCTTATTGGTTAAGGAGATTCCAAAGCCATTATAGAGGATTAGAAAAAAGGTTAATCTGCTTTAGCCGTTCACTTGTCAAAAGTGAATTTATAGGGTTTGAAAAATCCTCCCTATGGTGAAACCAGAAAAAGTCTCCCTCTCTCTCCCCCGCCCCTCCCTCCTGCAGGCAGCACAAGGGAATGGGAATGGAGACCCCAAAATGTTGGAGCACCTTCCTTTTCCCTGCCCCTGCCTGGGCACTTGCCCCCGGGGGAGCTCTGGTTCGGCAGCACTTCCCCAGTTCCCTCCCCGATGTGGGGTGGCCGTGGGGCTCGAGGAGCAGCTCCAAGGGATGTGATCATCCTCCCATGCTGCTCTGCCTTACCTGGGGCAAATCCCAGGCTGTTCCATGGGTTGGTATCGGCAAACCTGGCCCCGTGACTGAATTTGGGCACCCAGATGATTTCTAAAGCGGAACAGAGATGGACGCTGCTCGTAAATGCTGCCAAATCTCCAGGCTGGGCCTTGTCTGTCCCCAAGTGAAGTGCTCACCCAGGGAGCTGCATCTCAGCATCCTCCTCATCACCCAGCGCAGATGCTGGCCTGTCCCAGCCAAGTGGCTGCCTGTGCCACTGATTTACCCAAGGGGCTGATGCCCATCGCTCGCCCCAGTGCCACTGTGAGACACAACCCAGGGGAAAAACAGTCTTTCAAGGTCAAAACCAGCCCAGAGAACTTTCTTGTAAGTTCAGTGGCATGCGTTGGTCAGGAGTTATAGCTATATTTAATAAAGACACAGAAATCATAGAATCATAGCATGGTTTGGCTTGGAAGGGACCTTTAAAGTCATCTAGTCCGGCTCCCAGATCATGCCTGTTGTAAATACTTCAACCCTGTGCCGAGTGGCAAAAAGAACCCAAACAAAACCAGTTGGATTTGATGATAATTAACATAAGGTCTTATGATAAATCTGTTCCTCTCTCCGAAGGCCATTCCATCCTGCAGGAAGAAGTGGAGTCCCTCCACTGGCTGTTAGGGATCACTGTGATGATGGGGATGCTGGCTAAAAGGGGTGCTGGCTAGTGGGGATGCTGGCTAAAAGGGATGCTGGTTAGAGGGAATGCTGGCTAAAAGGGATGCTGGCTAGAGGGGAGGCTGGCTAGAGGGGATGCTGGCTAGAGGGGAGGCTGGCTAGAGGGGAGGCTGGCTAAAAGGGGAGGCTGGCTAAAAGGGGAGGCTGGCTAAAAGGGGAGGCTGGCTAACGGGGATGTTGGCTAAAGGGGATGCTGGCTAAAGGGGATGCTGGCTAAAGGGGAGGCTGGCTAAAGGGGAGGCTGGCTAAAAGGGATGCTGGCTAAAAGGGAGGCTGGCTAGTGGGGGGGCTGGCTAACGAGGATGCTAGTTAAAAGGGATGCTGGCTAAAAGGGATGCTGGCTAACGGGGATGTTGTGGAAATGCTGGCTAACGGGGATGCTGGCTAACGGGGATGCTGGCTAATGGGGATGCTGGCTAACAGGGATGCTGGCTAACAGGGATGCTGGCTAGTGGGGATGCTGGCTAATGGGGATACTGGCTAACGAGGATGCTAGTTAAAAGGGATGCTGGCTAAAAGGGATGCTGGCTAAAAGGGATGGCACCCATGGCTTAGCAGGAGAGCAGTGGGGGAACCAAACCTCCTCCGACGCACCGAGGCAGGAGGGAGCGAGACAACAATTTCACTCCGAACCATTTAATTTAATCCAGAGATTTTACAACCTCTCACCTTGCCGGGTTTCCCCTCTGCTGGGTACCAAGCACCAGCTCCCCGACTTTTCAGCCCTTCTTGGGCGGGTGGGGGGAGGAAATTCTGGCTTTTCCCGCTCACTATAGAAACGGCTCGAGATGATGTTGCTTTTTTAACCCCTGAATCGCAGCCTGTGGTGGATCCAGGGTCGTGCTGAAGGCGACGGGCGAAGGCGAGCATCCCCGCCCGGCGACGGCCGTCGCCGGGCGGGGATGCTCGCCTTCGCCCGTCGCCTTCAGCACGACCCTGGATCCACCACAGGCTGCGATTCAGGGGTTAAAAAAGCAACATCATCTCGAGCCGTTTCTATAGTGAGCGGGAAAAGCCAGAATTTCCTCCCCCCACCCGCCCAAGAAGGGCTGAAAAGTCGGGGAGCTGGTGCTTGGTACCCAGCAGAGGGGAAACCCGGCAAGGTGAGAGGTTGTAAAATCTCTGGATTAAATTAAATGGTTCGGAGTGAAATTGTTGTCTCGCTCCCTCCTGCCTCGGTGCGTCGGAGGAGGTTTGGTTCCCCCACTGCCCTCCTGCTAAGTCATGGGTACAGGTCCCTCTAGCCAGCATCCCCCCTAGCCAGCA